CTCCCAGAATTCCCCAGCCAGCCATGCTGGCTGGGGAATTCTGGGAGTTGAAGTTCAGACACCTTAAAGTCGCCAAGGTTGAGAAACACTGTTCTGGAGGCTGTGGGGGTTTGGAGGAGGAAGAACCGACTGATTTGATCTACCAAGGCCCAGTGGCTGTGGGTGTTAGGACCCCCTGGATCAAGGACTCTTCATCCATACTCTTGGATGGGGTGCCCAAGAGTGGGGCGCAATTTGGGGGTGTCGACCCAGTGTGCATCTGCTGTAAAAGGAGGCCAACGGCACGGGAGGGATAAGTAACGGTGTTGAAAATAGAGATGCCAGTATCATAATGCCCTGATATAAATCAGTGGTGCCACCACTTCTGGAGTATTGTGTGCGGTTTGGATCGCTGCACCCCCAAAGGGGCTGGAACAGCTTTCCCATGAGGACAGGTTGTGATATTGGGGGCTTTTTAGCCCAGAAAGGAGCAAACGAAAGGGGTCATGATTGAGGTGTATAGAGTTCTGCCTGGTGTGGATCAAGCAGACGGGGAGAAGCTGTTTTCCCCTTTCCAGAATAATAGAACCAGAGGTCACCCAGTGAAATTGAATTGTGGAAGAATCAGGTCAGACAAAAGAAAGTATTTTTTACACAATGGTTAATTCGACTTTGGGATTTGCTACCAGGAGATGTGGGGCTGGTTACCCGCTTGGCTGGCTTCACCAAAGGGTTGGACCCATTCATGGAAGTCAGGGCTCTTAGCCTTGATGACCGCGAGGCCTCCTCTGAAGGGCATCTGCTGGGAGACCGGTGGGCTTCCCTGGGCAGTTGGTGGGCCTCTGGGAGAACAGACTGCTGGGCTAGATGGTCCGAGGGTCCCCTCCACCAGGGCCCGGCTTCTGTTCTTCTGTCCTCTTGGACTCCCAGCTCCTGATCAAAGAGCAGGTGGCCAAGGTTTGCAGAGCTCCATCTGGACAGGGAGGCCCTTCAGATGGTCACTCATGCCTGGTCACCTCAAGGCTCAAGTACTGCAATGCACTCTACATGGGGCTGCCCTTGAAGACCACTCCAAAGCTTCAGTTGGTCCAGAATGCAGCGGCGTGGGCAGTGATGGGCATGCCTTGGTGTGCCCGTGGAACACCCCTGCTTAGTGTGCAGTACTGGTTGCCAGTTTGCTTTCAAGTGCAATTCAAGGTGCTGGCTGTTACCTATAGAGCTCTACACGGCATAGGACCTGGTTACTTGAGGAACTGCCCGTCTCCCATGGTTTCCACCTGGCTGGTACATGCCAGCAGGGTTGGCGTGTTCCGAGTCTCTTCAATTAAACAATGCCATCTCTCAGGACCCAGGAAGTGGGCCTTCTCTGTCACGGCACCTGCCCTCTGGAATGAGATCCCCCCTGAAATCTGTGGGGCTCCCACCCTGTTGGCGTTCTGAAAAGCCTTGAGACCTGGTTCTTCTCCCAGGCCTTGGGGTGAGACAGAGGGGGCCCTTGGGATTTTTCTGTTTATTGTGCCTGGGCCCCATCTTGGTTCTGGTTTGCACTGATTTTTAAGTTATTACTTGTGAACCGCTCAGAGTCCATTGTCTAAACTGAAATAAAGAAATGAGGAGTAAAAAATAGCAGCCAAAGAAATTAAAGGCTTCAGACGAGGAAGAAAAGAGGAAACGTAGCTAAATCAAGTTTGCACCAGCATGGTTCGCTTTTAGCCCCTTGTAAAACATGCTTGCATCCTCACATCCCATCACCACTTCACATGTTACCTTCTCCCCTCTCTCTTTATTTTTTTTTGAGGATTTCATCAGCTCCATCCAAGCACATTTTTCTCTGCCTTCCTTCTCCTCTCAGCTAGTTCTCTCTTCCTTCACGTGTTTGTTCTGAAGGTATTCCCAAATGACAGAGGGTTATTTTCCCTTCCAACCAAGGTGCAAAAAAAGGGGGAAAAATGAGGTTGGATCTTGGATCTGTTTCAGATTGTTTTGATCCTTGACTATTCCACTCAACCATAAACAGCCAACAGGATAACGCAGTTGGAAATAAAAGAGATCACCCGCTGGAAGATGATTGGATGAAGGCGCCCAAAGAGTGCACGCTTTTAAGGTTTCCCACTTTCCCCATCAACGTAACTTCGGGAAAATAGATTTTTCGACCCTCATTGCATCCAAGATCAAACACTGTAATAGGCAGCGTTTTCCACTGCCTATAAGATGTGAGCAAATCTCTCTGCAAACATTTAGGAAAAAAGCTCTCCTTATTTCTTATTTCCCATTCCTCTGAGACTGATCATTGAGGCATTAGATCAGTGTTTCTCGAACGTGGCAACTTTAAGATGTGTGGACTTCAGCTCCCAGAATTTCCTCCAGAAGCCCCATTTCTGCTGTTCAGGTTCCCAGATCTGCAATTCAGCGAATGATATTTTCTGAGTTGGTGCAGGATCGCTTTGTCTTACTACTGTGCTGTCACGGTGCCACAATGTTTGGAACAATTGCAGATTCTTCACCGGCTTCGCAACCACCAGCCCTGTAACCTCTTGCTGAAATCTGGGAATTAATCTTTGGTATCGAGGGCATCTTTTAGAGTTGAGTTAATGGAGCCCCATAACCTCAGATAGCTTA